GAACATTTGTTATTCTCCATGGCATTATCATTATGCCCCATACTTTATTTTTTATTTTTTGGTACTGGGAATTGAACTTAGGACCTTGCACGTGCCAGGTAGGCACAGCGCCACTGAGCTAAATCCCTGGCCCAATCCTATACTTTATTCACATTTCCTTGTTTTTATTTAATGTCCTCCTGTTCCAGCATCCCACTATGTTACACTTAGTGATCATGTCTCTTTAGGTTCCTCTGGCTGTGCAGTTTCTCAAGTTTCTCAGTCCTTTGCTTTTGATGACCTTGAGGTGTTTTTGCTTTTGTTTTACAGTATGGAGGACTGAACCCAGCACCCTTGCAATGAGCTACGTCTTCTACCTGTTTTGTTATATTTTATTTTGAGACAAGGTCTTGCTAAGTCACTCAATTGTCCAGCTTGGGCTTGAATTTGAAATCCTCCCACTTCAGGCTCTCAGTGTGCTAGGATTACAGGTGTTCACACCACACCTGGATGACTTTGAGACTTTTTAAAGAGTGCTGCTCAGGCATTTTGTAGAACATTCTTTTATTGGAACTTGCTTGCTCTTTTTCTCATGGCTATCCTGGGGTTGTGGATTTTGAGGAAGAAGACCGAAGAATAAAGTACCATTTTAGTAACATTGCTTCATATCAATGATTTATCAATATCATCATTGTTGATGTTAGCTTTGGGCTCTTGGCTGAGGTCATATTTAACAGATTTCATTGCTCTATAATTATTCTTTTCCCCCTTTTTCTATACTGCATTCTTTTTTTTTTTTCTTTTGGTACCGGGGATCAAACTGGGGTCCTTGCGCTTGTGAGGCAGGCGGCAGAACCACTGAACTAAATCCCCAGCCCTATATTGCATTCTTTGGAAGAAAATTCCAATGCACAATCCACACTTAAGGAGCAAGGAGTTATGCTTTACCTCCTTGAAGGTATCTATATAAATTACTTGGAATTCTTGGCCATGAATTGTGACACACACCTGTAATCCCTGCACTCAGGAGGCTGAGGCAGGAGGTTCACTGCAAGTTCAAGGTCAGCCTGAGCTACATAGTAAGTTCAAAGCCTGAACTACAAAGTGAGACCCTGTCTCAAAAAATAAATGGGAATTCTTCTGCATGGGAGGTTTGTCTTTTTTCCTCTACTTATTAAGTCACTTGTTTGTATTAACATGGACTAACAGATATTTTGTGGGTAATAATTCAATACATCTTTATTTTGATGCTGAAATTGTTTCAGTGTTGGCCATTGGGAGCTCTTTCAGGTGACACCTACGTCCCTTTGGAGTACCTACACTGATGAGGAGCTTTTGTTTGTTCTTGAGCACTTCCCTACTTTTTAGCACAAGATGCTCCCAATCCTAGAATCAGCCATTTCTCCAAGGAGCCAACAGGTGGCTACTTTCACTATGAGGTGATTACTCACTACATTAGGATAAAGGTCCTGATGCGTCCAAATTATATTATTTGACTGACAATTTTTCAGGAATATACACTCTGCTAAAAGCTAGGCACAGCTATTTTGAAAGGTATACCTAACTTTTTTTTTTTTTTTTTTGTATACCTAACTTTTGAAAGTTTCTGGTTGGGCCAGGGATTTAGCTCAGTGGTGCCACCGCCTGCCTCACGAGTGCAAGGTCCCGAGTTTGATCCCTGGTACCAAAAAAATTTAAAAAAGACAGTTTCTGGTCAGGCTTTATTCTGGGATGTAGCTCAGTAGCACCGCACCTGCCTGGCAAGCTCAAGGTCTGGAGTTCGATCCAGTACCAAGAAAGAAAGAAAGGGGGGGGGGAGAGATCATTGGTGATATTGTGGGTGTTACAAGAATTTTGTAAGAAAGACATACAGTGGAAAGTTTACCAGAATGGGGCAGCAAAATTCTATTAGTCCAGATGTAGCCACTGTACCTATATACCCTTGTTCAAGTGGAATGCAGGGTGGGAAGTGAGGGGGGAATGGAAGTGTGCAAGGTGCAGCAGTGAAATGCAGGCTTTAAGAGCTCAGGAGAGGCAACATTAATGATCATATTAAATATTAAAAATAATAGAAAGTCTTAATCTTGATTCTAATAGAGCCTCTGTCAACTCTTTGAAATCCATGACTGACTGTGCTTAGGCTTGTAGGTTTCCAGGCATGGCTGCACCTTGGAATCACACAGAACACATCTAGAACTATTGTGGCCTGGGCCCCAAGCCCATCAGTTCTGATTTACTTGGTTTGTGGCACAGCCTGCACAGTGAGAGTTTCTTAAGTCTCTCCTCCACGCCCAAGTCCCCAGGTGACGAATAGTAGGCAAAATTGAGAACCACTGTGTAGGCTCTGAAGGCTCTTGGTCCCTCCCCAGTATAACACATAGACTATAAGTCCTCAGAGTACCTTGTGCATAAGAGTTGATGAATTGGATTTGGATAGTGTATTGGTTTGCTATTGCTGCTGTAACAAATTACCCAATCTTAATGGCTTAAAACAACACAAATTTAACCTTTTACATTTTTGGAGGTCAGAAGTCCAAAACAGGCCAAGATAGGCTAAAATCAAGATATCCACAGTGCTGAATTCATTCTCGCTTTCTCTAGGGGAGAATCATGTCCTTGCCTGCTGCAGCTTTGGGGGCTGCCCACATTCCTTGATTCATGGCACCACATCACCCCAATCTTGTTTCTGTTATCACACCTCCTCTGACTCTGATACCCTTGTCGCTTATAATGTTGGCTTATAAGTTTATTGGGCCTTCAGGGATGATCTCCCTATCTCTAAATCCTTAATCACATTTGTGAAGTCCCTTTGGCCATGTAAGGTAATATATTCACTAGTTCGAGGAATTGGGACACCGACATCTTTGGGGAGGCATTATTTTACTTACCACCAATAGAGACAAAGCAACTGCTGTAATTATGGGCCCATAAATAGGATTAAGTTGCCCTGTTATATGTGGCAGCTCTTTACTGTGCCTTTTTTCTTTTAGCTGTGCTAGGATTTAATCAGAGACCATCTCTGTATAAAGTTATCCACCCTACTGAAAATTAAAATATGAAAAAAACAGTGAGGAGCCTGGGAGCCACAGAAATAAAGCACAGAGAGATACTTATTTTTAAATGACTCAGTAAAATGATATGCAGAACTGCAGCTGGGCACAGTGAGTTTTAATAGGTACATGGAGATGTTCATTCGCTGTGGCAGGGGGCAGCCTCCAGGTTTGGGTTTACAGGCATCTCTGCTCTGGGGTTTCCCTGTCTCCCCTGTGGTCCCTGAGCCTGGTTGTGGTGTGGGACAAAAATCCAGCTGGCACCTCCAGATCCACATGCTCCCTGTCTCCCAGATGGAAAGTGTGAGAGCTGGCTGCTAACACAGGTGCCCAGAGGCAGGGCCAGATGATTGGGGCAAGGAGAGAGGGCTATGCCACAGAGAAGGGTGCTGAAGACGTGGTTTTAAGAAGGAAATTTGCCCTTTAGTATTGAATGCACCTGCCAGCCCCTGCCAGGTGGCAGAGGACCCTCTTAAACAAGGCCCACGGGAAGCATGTCTTTTTCTCCTAGCAGGAAACATGTCTGACCCTGTCACCTGTTCCAGGGTGCCCGGTTTCCTTCTTCCACAGAGGCCTCTGCAGTTGCTCTTTCCAGCTGCTTTCTGTCTTGCAGGACAGTGAGGTCTAGCCAGCCACCTCCTTCCCCACTGAGATGGTCAAGTCCCTGCTGCTGAGAACCCTCTCCTGCCAGAGCTTGGCCTCATCTGTTGCCATGGTGACAGCCAGCTGCTGCTTAGCACCAGCATGGAGATGGGGTACAAAGAAAGGGTAGCTGGAGGGGGTTACAGTACACACTGGGACCGCCCAGCATTCCTGGGGCCTGAGGGGCAGAGAAGGCCCCTCTGGGGACTCCTGGAAGTCTTTGACAGGTTTGTTCTCTCAGGGAGGAGCCATAAAATGTGAAAGGTCTAAGCTCTACTCCTCCACACAGGAATCAGAATTTAAAAGATAAAAGTTCTTTTACGATGGCAGTTCCGGTACTTACCCACACACACTCATGCACACACTCTTATGTTGGTGTGCACTTTCTTCTTATTCTTGACACTATATTGGCCTCCAAGAGGGTTAGAGAGCTGGGAATGTGCATCTATCTGGGCCCGCTGTAGCTGTGAGACCTGCTTTTTCATGTAGATGGCCTAGAATTCAAAACTTCAGGCTGGGTGCAGTGGTGCACATCTGTAATCACAGCTACTCCAGAGGCTGAGGCAGGAAGCTCAGAAGATCAAGGGAAGCGTGGACAACTTAGTGTAAACCCTGTCTCAAAATAAAAATAAAAAAGGGTTGGGAGTGCAGGTTAGTAAAAGGTCTGGGATCAGTCCCCAGAACCAGAAAAAATAATAAGAAAAACTTCACAGTTCCTATGTGATGTTGGACAAATTGACGATTAGAGATGGCAGATAGTCATTGTTAGGCCTGTGTTAAGTACTCTTCACTCGTTATTTTATTTAATTATCACAGCAATCTTATTAGATGTAGCTGTTTGCTTGTTCTTAATTCCATTTCCAGATACAGAAACTAAGGCTCAGAAATTTGTCCCACATTAAGTCTGACTCACTCAGAAGCCCATGTTTTTGTCTGGTTTTGATTTTTGGAGTATTTTTTGGTGTTGAAGATTGAATCTAGGCCTTCGTGCATGCACTCTACCACTAAGCTAGATGCCCAGCCCCCTGGAAGCCCACCCTTTAAGTCACTATTCTGTATTAAACTTGTATTGCCTTAAGTTCCTCATCTGTAAAATGGGGATAATATCTGCCTCACAGATAATTGTATTGCAAGGATGTTATGAGGTAGTATTTGGAAAAGTAGTCATGGAGATAGAGCCTGATAGATATTATCAGCAGTATTATTGAGGCGTCACCCCTGGGCCCTAGGATAATTATCCCCTCCTGTTCTCCTGGAAAGTTTGTGTTCAGGGCTCTCTGATTTCCAGAAATCTCAAGGTCAGGTCTGGCTCTTTCCCTGTTTGCACAGGTGATTTCCATGGTGATGGTGGCTGTGGGTGTCTATGCCCGGCTGATGAAGCACGCAGGTGAGCTCTCTGTCTCCTTCCACCTCCCCAGACTGCTGCCAGGCCCATTCCTTTCTGCCTCTTCCAGCCCTGGCCCTGTCTCTTCCTGCGTGAGTTACAGGGGCAGCTCCCTGTAGCCTGATCTCAGTGGTCTCCATCTTGCCAGCCTGTTCATGCCATTTCACTTTCGTTCCCAGAGTTTCCATGAGTCTTCCAAGATATTCCTATTTTTGAAGCTTAGGGAGTGTCAGAAAGAGAAGGTAGGATTCTGGGAGCAGAGAGTAGTCAAGGGCATGACCCCTCCCTAGCTCAGTTTGGAGTGACTCAACCTCCATTCCCCCTCCTCTGCACAAAGGCTCTGAAAAACAGTCTCCTCAAAGCTGGTGAGCCCAAGGCCCTCCTAATACTTCATTAGTTCATCAAGTCTTCACTCTGGGAGGATGGCGCTCCCTCCACATAACTTTTATACTGGATATTCCCCACCAAGAGAAGCACAGATTGCGGAAACCCTCCCACCCATCCCTGGAAGCCCCCTCATGGGCACAGACTGAGAATGGGCCTTCCCCCCAGAAGCAGCCTTGGCTTGCCTGGCAGTGGACCCCGCCATCCTGCTCATTGTGGTGGGCGTCCTCATGTTCCTGCTCACCTTCTGCGGATGCATTGGATCCCTGCGAGAGAACATCTGCCTCCTCCAGACTGTGAGTGGAAAGACCTCCCTGGGGTGCCAGCTGGTCTCCTGCTGCCATTCCTACAAGCTTCCCATTTCTTCTGTCCCACCCAACCCCAGAGGCCTGTGCTGTCCACCCCTCACTGAAGAGCTCAGCCCCAGGTGCCTCGGCTCTCAGTCAGTAACAGGGTGGCCATTCTCAGGAAGTGTCTCAATTGGGGGCATCTAGGAGAGGAGCCTAGTGCTCCTCAACACTTCCAGGGCCCTGGGAGGGGCTGCCACCCAGAATGGTAACAGGCTGTCTTCTTCTCCTGGCTGCTGCCACAGTTCTCCCTCTGCCTCACCATCGTGTTCCTGCTACAGCTGGCTGCTGGGGTCCTGGGCTTCGTCTTCTCAGACAAGGTAATGTTGGGACCCAAGGGACCTGTTCACAGTGAACCAGAGGGAGGAAAGGAAAGTTCCTGCTAGCATTTAGCCTGATTAATTAACCACAGCACTCCTTCCCCTGAGAAATAGCAGCCTTTGGAAGGTTCTCCTTAGGAATGAGTGAATGGCCTTTAAAGTCACTATATTTAAAGAAAATTTCACATTTGTAGAGTGTTTCCTCTGACAGTCTGAGAGACCAACAGGGAAGAAAATTCTTAAACATGGAGTTAAAATACCCTGCAAACTTTAATTTTAAATGACTACATAAAACTCATTGCTCAGGTGGAGCACAGACAACACGCAGAGCCTCTTATTTCCCTAGAAATTGTGAGATAAACAAGGGAAAGTGGGAGAAAGAAAACATGATTTGAAACATGCTTACTCTATCTGGAGGTAATCTGCCATGCAGCAACAGTCATTTTAATTAAGAACCAGGATTCTCTTCCCAAAGGGCAAATGATTACCCGGGACAAGGTATAGACTATGGAAAGAAATTGTGAGAAAAGTAGTGGAGCAGAAAGAGAACATGGTGGAAAATTATGAACTTGAGAGTTGTTGAATTAATTCAGAATTTTCTAGTCCTGTTAAAATCCTAAAATGATACAGATGTTGTCTATAAAGATGCAATTTCCTTATGTCCACCAGAGGGCAGTGCTACAGTTCTGCTGCCTTTCTGTTTAAAAAAAAACAAATTCGTTTCTCCATTTTGCATCAGTCGACAAATATTTTGTGGCAATACTATACAGAGGTAGCTAAACATTGGATTATTTTGAAATATATCTCTGAGAAGCAGTGACAGCAGGTCCAGCATTCTCTTGCTCACTAGTACCTGAGGACCAAGGGTGGATGGGCTTTGGAACTGGCCATCTTACCTCATTAGGCCTTGGTTCCGATTTCTCAAGGCTGATTCAGATAAAGAAGGATGATCTGAGCTGGGCATGGTTGTGCACACCTGTAATCTCAGAACTATAGGAGGCTGAGGCAGGAAGATTGCAAATTCAAACCCTGCTTGGACAATTTAGCAACTTAGTGAGACCCTACCTCAAAATGGGGCTGGGATATAGCTCAGTGTGAAGGATCTAGGTTCAATCCCCACTACCACCAAAAAAGGGGGATAACCTTCATCTTTGATCTAACACACACACACACGCACACACTCCAGGTCCTGGGAGAGATGTCCTAATATCGCTTAGGGTCCCAGACTTGTAAATCTTCCCCTTCTCCCATTTTGATGTTAAGAGTAGAGGCCATGTATCCTTTCTCTGTTATATAGTGCCTGTAGATGAGGGAGAAGGCTGTTGTAGATGTCATGGTGCACCATCAGACCCAGACTCCTCCCTATTTATCTCTTATGTACAAGGTGGGGTCTTGGGGGTGGGCCTCCATTCACCTAAGCTGATAGGGATCCTCAAGGGTACAGGCCTAAATGAATGTGTGTTGGGGGCATTTTACTGGTAGATTAGTGGTCCTTGGGATGTTAAAGAAATATCCAGTGTGTAAAAAGGAAGTTGGAATGGGAGGTGGTGGTCAGTGAATGAAGAGGATGGAAGGATTGGAACTGGGACAACAACAAGGGGACTGGAGCCATTTAGCAATGCCAAGCTTGGTAGCTATTAGTGTGCATCCAGAGTGGGATGGGAGAGGGAGCCAAATGTCCCAGGCTGCTTGCCATAGAGGTGAGAAGGGCTACCCTGGGGCTCCGACCACACCGTGCTATATGTGGAGGGTACCCTCCTGACTTGCATAACTTAGACTGTGACAACAAGCAGGAAAAAGAAAAGAAAAATAAGGTGATCTCTGTCTACTGTCACTTCTGCAGGGAGGAATAAGTTAGGGATTCATTCTGTGTCCTGATTCCCTTCCCGTGTCTCTGCAGGCTCGGGGGAAAGTGAGTGAGATTATAAACAATGCCATCGTGCATTACCGAGATGACCTGGATCTGCAGAACCTCATTGATTTTGGCCAGAAGAAGGTATGAGCTAAGTGTGGTAGAGTTAGTAGGGCCTGGGGCTGTGGGTAAAAGTTAGAGTCCTTCCAAGATATACCTCACCCTCTAGGGCTCTCCCACAGGCCTCTTCATTCCTTGCTGGGTAATATGTACACTCTGGAAGTAGGTTTGGCAACACACACACACACACACACACATGCACACAGTTCTTTAACAGTTCTTTAAGGATACAGAACTGTATATATAGGAATCTACCATTTATGTAAAAAAGGGGGAAAATAATATATATTGATATTTGCAAAAGAATTCTGGAATGATCTATAAGAAACCATTATAAGTGGTTGCCCATAGCAGAATGAGAAACCAACCAGTTTTTGTTTTGTTTTTTCTGTTTCTGGGGATTGTACCCAGACCCTCACACATGCTAGACTAATGTTCTATCTCTGAGCTACCTCCCCAGCTCCCTCCCCCCTTTTTGAGACAGGGTCTCATTAAGTTGCCCAGGCTGAGCTTGAACTTGTGACCCTTCTGCCTTACCCTCCCAAAATGCTGGGATTTACATGCATTTACCGCCATGCTTGGCTCCATCTAGTCAAAAGTTACATTTTTTTAGGGCCGGGGACTTAGCTCAGTGGTTCTGCTGCCTGCCTCGAAAGTGCAAGGTCCTGATTTGATCCCTGGTGCCAAAAAAAAAAAGTTACATTTTTTAAATTGTGGTCAAATATACATAACATGAAATTTATTTTTTTATTTTACAATGCTAAGGATCAAACCCAGGGCCTCATGCATCATAGGCAAGCAGTGCATTACTAAACTACACCCCCAGTCCAGAATTTACCATTTTTCAGTGTACAGACCTGTGGTATCAAGAACATTCACATATGTGCAATCATCATCACCATAACCCATCTCCAGAACTTTTTATCTTCACCAAGTCAAACTCTACCCATTAAACATCTACTACCCATTTCCCTCTTGCCCTGGCAATCATCATTCTCCTTTCTGGTTCTGTGAATTTGACTTCATTTGGTACCTCATATTAATTAATAGGGTACCTATTAATTATTTGGGTACCTCATATTAATTAATAGGACCATACAATATTCATCCTTCTGTGACTGGTTTATTTCCTTTGTCTTGTCTTCCAGTTTTATCCAGGTTGTTAGAATTTCCTTCCTTTAAAGACTGAGTATAAAAAGGAACTCTCTCCTACACTGTTGGTAAACTAATACAACCATTATGGAAATCAGTATGGAGATTTCTCAAAGAGCTCAAATTAGAAATTCTATTTGACCCAGTGATTCTCCTTCTAGTTATCTTCCCAAAAGAGTTAAAGACATGATATTACAGAGATACATGTGTACCCATGTTTATTGCAGCACAATTCCTAGTAGCTAAATCCTGGAAACAGCCTGTATGTCCAGCAATGGACTTAAGAAAATGTGGTATCAGGGCCAGGGATTTAGCTCAGTGGTTTCGCCACTGGCTGCGCAAGCTCAAGGACTTGAGTTCGATCCCTGGTACCAAAAAAAGAAATTGTGGTGTCTACTACTACATGGCTATAAAGAAGGATAAATTTGAGACATTTGTAGGAAAATAGACACACCTGGAAAATACAGTGTTGAGTGAAATAAATCAGACACCCAAGCTTAAATACCATATGATTTCTCTCATTTGAGTAAGGGAAAGTACAAAGAGCAAAATAAAGGATGGCTAGAAGGGGACAAGCATACAGATCTCTTGCCAATAGGAAGGGGTCCAGGAGACCGAGGGAGAGGGGAAGAGGAATTAAGAAGATTTATGATATATCATGTACAATTACCAAATACCCACAATGAATGTAAACATTTTACATCATAAATAGGAGCTAAGAGTAACGATAACAAGAATGAAAACAGAGAAAGAGGATTTAAAGACAGAGGGAGGGAAGTGGGTGAGAAGAGCATTAAAAAAGAAACAAGTTGTGTTATGTACATGCACTTATTCTCCAAGATGAATGTAAATCTCATCTTGCAAATGCAAATATGTACTAATAAAGTGAAATAAAAAATAGATGCTGAACAATGACAAGAGGATCAACCCATCAGAAAAATGTAACAAGTATAAATAAATGTATAACTAACAACAGAAGTTGAAAATACATGAGAAGGTTTGGATATTATGAAATTGTTTTATGCAGCTACTAAGGTGATAATGTAATTTTGGCCTTATAGTTTAGTATATGGCTGACTGATTTTCATATATTAATTTAACCTTGCATTCCTGGGATAAATGATATACAATGGTGAATAAAAGACTGGGTATGGGCCAGGGATTTAGCTCAGTGGTTCCGGTGCCTGCCTCACAAGCCCAAGGTCCCAAGTTCGATCACCGGTACCAAAAAAAAAAAAACAAAAAAAACCCTGGGTAATAGTCCAATGTATGTAAGCCTCACATTTTGTTTATCTTATCCATTGATGGACACTTGGGTTGCCTCTACCTTTTGGCTATTGTGAATAATGCTGCTATGAATCAAAAGTTAAATTTTAAATAAAGGTACTTTTTTTGGGGGGGGGCGTTGTTTTGGTACTGGGGATTGAATGCGTGTCTTTGCGCTTGTGAAACCACTGAGCTAAATCCCCGGCCCTGTTTTCTCTATCTCAAGTCAAGGTTTTAAGCACTAATCTTTTAATTATTTCAGCCATTATTGTTGACTCTTTTGTTACTTTTTGGTGTTGCTGGGTTTGAGCCCGGGGTTTTGTCCATGCTATGTTCATGTTAATCCACTGAACTATACCCTGAGCTCTAGCCAGTATTTTTAAACACCTCCTTTATCAGACTCTGCTGTGCAGAACTATAAAGCCAGAACCTTCTCTACCTTCTCTCAAGGAATATAGTTGAATATGTAAATAAAAAATATACACACAACTAATATCCAGCACTATGACAAGTTATACAAGATACATAAAGTAGTAGAAATTAAGACGAAAAAAATTTCTTCAGGTGAAAGCAACTGGGAGACTTGAGCCCAAGGTTCGAGGTTATATCAGAGTAAGGGGTGGGTGATTCTTAACTTTTGCAATGGGCTCTCTTGCAGTTCAGCTGCTGTGGAGGGATTTCCTACAAGGACTGGTCCCAGAATATGTACTTCAACTGCTCAGATGATAACCCCAGCCGTGAGCGATGCTCTGTGCCTTACTCCTGTTGCTTGCCTACCCCAAACCAGGTAAGCAAACATCCCTCCTCATTTCTTTCTGGATAGTGGTCTAAGTTACTTTCTTGCCCATTTTATAGCTTAACCCAAGAGTTTTGTGGGACAGGTGTCAGGTGTCACCTCAACCTGATGGCTCCATTAACCTTTCCCTCCTATAGCCTACAAGCGAGTTCAGGAAAGGCAGATCTAAAGCAAGAACTATATCTAGGCTTCCCAAGAGAAGGCAAGCGTACATTTAGCAATTTCCAGCCCAACACCCTCTGGAGATACTCTTAACAATTTCAGAGTTTAGGAAGGATAGGAAGCCCTTCAGCTAGGGTCCAAAACAAGAAGTTATTGGCATGGAAAACCCATTTGGCTTTTCAACTCTTTCCCCAGGCAGTGATCAACACTATGTGTGGCCAAGGTATGCAGGCTCTTAAATACTCGGAAGCTAGTGACGTCATCTATACCAATGGCTGTATTGACAAGCTGGTCAACTGGATACACAGCAACCTATTCTTACTTGGTGGTGTGGCACTGGGGCTGGCCATCCCCCAGGTAACTTACCCTGTGTGACTTGTCAGTCTCAGAAACTCTGCAGAGACTCCTTTATTTAGGGGAGGGCACTTGGGGACCAACTGTGGTTTCAGAGACTGACATTGCTGAGGGGCAGAAGAAGGGATGGTGCTTAGCTCACTGGGAAGACTGAGTCAGGGGAAGGAGGGGCATCACTCATTGCTGAGCGCCCAATTCCTTCTTGCCTTTCTCAGCTGGTGGGAATCCTGCTGTCCCAGATCCTTGTGAATCAGATCAAAGATCAGATCAAGCTACAGCTCTACAACCAGCAGCACCGCGCTGACCCATGGTACTGAGAATCCATCCTGTGGCTCCTCACCATGGCAACAGGCAAGCCTCACTGACCAGCGACAGCTGGTGCTGAGAACAGCACCCAAGATTTGGATTCCAGCTCCCCAGCAATCATGGCCCACTGGGACAAAGCAAACTCCAGATGGGCAGAAAGAAGGCAGGGTGCACAGAGCCTCAAGTCTCAGAAGGCTGTGCCTCCCCTCCCCTATCCTAGCCCTCAGCATTGTTAGAGTCATTTTGTGTTGTTTCTAACCTTAAGTGTTTGGGTTTATGTTTTTAAGTTTTGTCTGGGCAGAGATGTTTGGGGAACAGGAGTTGCAGAGAGTTGGGGGGGGTACTAGTAGCTGCTGCTTTTTCACTGGGGCAATACAGCCAACAGCTCTATTAGGGCTGTCACCGAGCTTGGTGGACATACTTAAGATTCTGCTGCCAGCAAGACTTGGCTGTGGAGACTAGATACCACAGCCCTGCCTGGAGTACAATTGGCATGATTCCAGTTCTGGAAGAGAAGGGAGTGGGACCAGGCAGTAGGGAGTGTGGGGGTCGGCCAGGGACAGCTGTGTGTGTTGGGTAGGAGTGGAAGGAGGTGCTTACTAAATGCCTGCCCTGCCGTCCTCCCAGGTAGTCAGAGTGAGCTACATCCTGCACCTCCCTCATTTCCATGGTAACGTGGCAGCAAGGCAAGGGGTACCACAGCAGCCAAATTCAGCACTACCCCACGCCCTCCGAAGAAAGTTTAGAACCATGATCCCTGCAGTCTGCAGCCAGCAGAAGTGGGACTGAGCCTTACATGTCCTCGAATTCCTCTATCAAGCACTCCCTCTCCAGCAAGTGGGGTTTTCTTTAACTTGGCAGTGCGAAGAGGAGTGATAACACTCCCCCACCCTCACCCCCCTGCACGAGAACTTAATGTTTCTGCAGTTTAAGAAGCAAGAATCTTGCTGGGGCTAGGGGTGCCAGAAGTGGCAATAAAAAGCTTATTGACCTGGGCTAAGCTGGCCTCCATGAATTTTCCATTCTGCCAACTAGAAGGGGAGAAGCAGAAGGGTCCAGCGGGTGGGCCCTGCCTCCAGGAGACAGGAGACTCCTCTAAAAGCCACAGGATCTCTGTGGCCCGACACGCCCCATCTACCTCAGCTTCACCTTTTCGGGCCAAAATTAGAACGAAAGATGTCCAGTTCTGATCTGTAAAGGGTGCAACTTTGTCCCAAAACCCGATGGGTTTTTTTTTACTTTCCGAATTAAAGTGGATCAAAATTAACCTGCCACGGAGAAACTTAGGATGGGGATAGGGAAGGCAGGCTAGGAGCACCCTCCGCCTGGGGTAGGATCTCCCTCATCTCCCACGAGGAGGACGAAGGCTGTCTCTTCCCTGCAGCCTGGGCCGCTGGTCTCTATCCTCCCTCTACATCAAGGGGCTGAGCGTCCCAGCACGGACGGAAAACTCTGGGAGCGGAGGGTGGAGCTTCCGCGCGCCCGGGCAGCGTGGGAGGGCGGGGCCGCGCCGTTTCGTGGGTGGTCCTCGTCCCCTCCCGCCCGGGGCTGAGGCTGTAGAAGCGGGGAGTCGGGAGTGGGTTCCTGAAGTTGCCTCGCCCCACTTCCAGTCCGGTGGTTCAGACCAAGGTCTTGTTCTGGCGGGGGAGAAACTTGGAGAGCATCCCTACGGTGTTGAGAGACAAAGAGTCACGAGGTCGCTCCCGCCCCCAGTGTTTCCTAAGCGAGCCTTCTGCTCCTGGGAGGGCGCCTTTCCAGCAGCCTCCTGGGGCCCGAGCCAATGTTTAGCTCCTAGCTGGTAACAGAACGGAAAGAAAAAATAAAATCACGAATATAAAATTAAAAGTAAGGGCCTTTTATTCTGGGAAAGAAGAATTAAAAAGCACGCTTTCTTGGTTAGCTTGCCTTTCTTAAGTAGTGCCAGAGACTTGCAGTTTATACTTTTCCTTTTTTTTAGTGACCCAGACCCATAAGTGAGTGTACTCGGCTAGGGGTTGGGGTAAAAGGCCCTCCTGGCCCAGCGTCTTTGAGGAGCTCATCTTTGGAGGTCATGAAGGAAGGAAGACCAGGAACAGTGGTCCCCAGAACCAGGATTCAAACCATCCACACTTCCTAAACGCCAAATTACACTTTTATTAGGGTGTCTGTCTGTATTCTAGACCTGGACTTAGGAATTTCTGCACAAGCCTCAGTGTTTCAAACTCATTGAGCAAGTGCAGTTCAGTATTTCTAACTATTTTCCAGTTTGCAGTTCCTCTGGGTTCCCAGTCTGTAGCTTTTTTCTCTTTGAGGGAAAAAAATATTCCTTTTTTGGGAGGCGGGGGTTTACAGGGATGGAACTCGGGACCTTGCGCTTTCGCTTTCGAGGTAGGCGCCAGAACCACTGAGCTAAATCCCTGGCCCCAATATTCCAGTTTTTAAAAGATTTCTCGTTATTTGATGTTGCAACTGAAGTTGCTCTCTGAAATTTTACGTTTCTAGTAACCCCAGTCTCAAACAGGCAACCTTAACTTCAATACTTAGAACAGCTAATTAAATCTAGGCCCCAAAGTGGGTGAATGGTGGGACATTCTTGGGGACAGCAGAAATCAATCAGGGGCGCAGGAGGGGGCAGATGTGGAAGGCAAAGTTTGAAGGTTAGTGGAAACCCGGATGGGTGGCAGTAAGAAAGCTACTGTTAATTTCAGTGGGCCTCAAACCTTACAATGAAACAAGGTCCTTTGTCCAGGAAAGAAAATTTTGCAGAAATTCTGGTCCCCCTCTGTTTTGTTTTGACACAGGGTCTCACTAAGTTGGAGAGCTAGCCTCAGCCTCCTAGGTAGCTAGGATTACACCCTGTATTGGTTGTCTTGCTGCTATCACAAATTTTATCGTCCAGATCTGGAAGTCAGAAGTCCAAAATAGGTCTCACTGAGCTAAAATCAAGGTATGAGTAGGGCTGTGTTCTGTCTGGGGCTCCAGGGGAGAATTCGTTTTTCCAATTTCCAGACCCATTTGCATTCCTTGGTGTGGACTTTCTCTCCATCTTCAGAACACAGCACTCTAGTTTCTGGTCACATCTCTTTTTCCTCTGACCTTCCCACTTACAGTACCCTTGTGATTATATTGGGCCCACCTGGATTATTCAGTATAATTTACCTGTTTTAAGATCCTTAAACAAATCTACAGAATCCCTTTTACCATATAAGATAAGATATACATAGGTGCTGGAGATTAGGACATGTACATTTTTGGGGTGACCATTTAGCTTACTTATCACAACACCCTTTCCAGTCTCTTGCCTGACATGAGGTGAAGGGCCTTGGGAGCTAGCGAGCTATGTATTCCTTGGCCATCTCAAATCATTACCTGACATGGGCTGATTGCTTACTGTGTGCTAAGCACATGTTTACTGTTCAGCCTTTGTTATTTTCTGACTCATCCTCATCCTGAAGACCAGATGTGTTAACAGGGCCAGGGACCGGTTTCACAAAGAGGAACGGTACAGCTTCTTCCAGCAGAGAATTCTCCTGGTCTGATACTCAAAAGATCAGGAACACTTTGTAGACACATCCATTCCCTCAAAAATAAGTTTATGGTAAAATGGGCATAGTGGAACATGCCTATAATCCAGCACTTTAGGAGGCTGAGGCAGGAGTTTGAGCCCAGCCTGTTACTTAGCAAAACCCTGTCTCAAAATTTTAAAAAGAGGACTGACGGGCCGGGGATTTAACTCAGTGTTTCCACTGCCTGCCTCGCAAGCGCAAGTTCTTGAGTTCGATCCCCGGTACCAAAAAAATTAAAAAATAAAAATAAAAAGAGGACTGGTGGGCCAGGGATTTAGCTCAGTGGTTCTGCTGCCTGCTTTGCAAGCCCAAAGTCCTGAGTTCGATACCCGGTACCAAAAAAAAAAAAAGAGGACTGGAGTTATACTAAAAGCCTTGGGTTCAATCCCCAGTACCCACCAAAAAAAATCTTTGATAATTAGATATTACAAATTGCCATTGATAAAGTGCTTAGAGAAGGAATAAAGTAAAGGTTAACCACAGTCTAAAACTCAGATTGAAAATTATGCTTCCAGAATCTTCTAACTCCAGGCCAGAAACCTGGTAAATCAAGCAGTTGAATAGAGACGATCACAGATTCCAGAAATATTTCCGAACATCAGTGCTCACTTTCTAATAAATAAAAAACAAGAGAGTGATAAAAGGGGAGGGTAATCACTAATAAAAGTAATAAAAGGTGTTAAATGAATGGATTACTTACAGTATGAAAACAAGTAACAGATTTGTATCTCACATCATATACTGCAGTGCATCCCAGAAAAGTAAAAGAGCTAAATATTGTAAAGCAAAACAAACATTAAAACTTGAACATCAGAAACCAGTCACGGTGGAACATACCTGTAATCTCAGCACTCAGAGCCTGGGAAATTTAGCAAAGCCTTGTCTCAAAGTAAAAAAAGTTGAGCCAGGGATTTAGCTCAGTGGCATTGTTGCCTGCCTTGCAAGCACAAGGTCCTGAGTTTGATCCCTGGTACAACAAAAAATAAATAAATAAATTTTTAAAAATTAAACTAAATTTAAAAGTTGAAGCTATAGCTTAGCGGCTCACAATTCTTTTTTCTTTGGAAACTAGGCATCTTCCACCTCCAAGCACAGTGTGAGTTGTGAAGAGCCACATGTGTACTGTAAGACCTGGTTCCCTAGACATAGCTGATTGGGTCAAGCTTGGGCACTGCTATTACAAAATACCTCAAACTGGGTGGCTTAAAATGACAGAAACATACTGCCTCACAGCTTTGGAGGCCAGAAGTCTGAAATCAAGGTGTTAGCAAAACCATACTCCGTCAAAGCCTCGAGGGGAAAATCAGCCTGTGCCTCTTCCAGTCTCTGGTGGCCCTAGGCATTCTTTGGCTGCTGGCAGCATAACTGCATACTCTCCATCCTCAGGTGCCATCTTCCCTCGTGTATGTCTGTGTCAGTGTCCCAGTTTCCCTCTTCTTACAAGGACATCAGTCCTTGGATGAAGGGCCCACCCTACTCTAGGGTCCTCATCTTAACTGAACGCTAACTCCAAATAAGGTCACATTCTGAGTTGGAGGAAGTAGGGAGTTAGGGCTACACAGGTCTTTTTTGCTAGGATACTGTTCAACCCATAAGAGACACAGCCCAGATTGTGCCAAGGCTCCTTCCCTGGGACTTTGGAATTGAGAATGAAATTCTAGTCGCAATGGGAAGCTGAAGTTTAGCCCTCATACACTCTGTAGAGAAAATAGCAGTGACACTCTGTTTACAGAAAGAGGAGAAGGAAACAGAGTGAAGATGAGGTGGGATGCAGAGAGCAAGGGGGCAGAAGAAGGATGCTGTCTTGGAAGCGACTTTCCTCTGTGGTCCTGCAGCCATTCTGCAGCTCCACTGCCTTCCTGCTTTGGGTTCCCTGAGAACTGTATGCACACGATAAAGCCTAGTTTTGTCTGTTTTTGTTTTGTTTTTCCTTTTGAGATAGGGTCTAGCCTTATAGCTCAGGCTGACCTCAAGCTCACAGCAGTCTTTCTGTATCAGCCTCCCGAGTGCTAGGATTACAGGCATGTACCACCCCCCCCAGCTGCCTTTTCAGTCTTGAATTCCTTGGTTGGTGGCCCCTTCCACCCTCCCCGTGTCAGCAATGGCAGATCAGATCCTTCTCATGCTACCATCTCTCTGATTCTCTGTGGCCAGGAAAGATTTTCTGCTTTTAAGGACTCACGTGATTAGATCTGGCCCACATGCATAATCCAGGCCACTGCCTCATCTCAAGGTTCTTAAACTTAACATCTGTTTTTGAAGTCAGATAAGTGATAAGTCATCTGTCTTTTTTGCCACAGAATAACAGATTCTAGGGATTAGAATGTAGAAATTTTAGAAACCATTATTTTATCAACCATGGGAACATAAGAAAATATATCCTATTTGTAATAAGATAAATGGCCAAGTTTAATGGTCTTTCTCTGAACTATTTCTTTTCCTTACAAAATCCCTT